CGAAAAGCTCGTTGCATTTGTCGACAGGTGTCGTGCTGTCATTACAACCGAGATTAAAGGGCACATAAGCAAAATGAAGGAGAAGGGTACTTTACTGCCCATTGCACATTAAATGGCCTTATTAGCCTTTTCTGGCTTTGGAGCTAGTTTGTTCTTACAAGTTTAGAATGTATCATCTTAGAAAGAAAGTGCATTCAGTTAATTAGATCCTTGGGTTCAAGTTTATTGTGAAAGAATGAACGTGCATTCTTCAAACTGTCCATTTTAAAGCAATACTCTGATGATTTGGGAGTTATGCCCTTTTCTATAATTTTCCTAGTGAGACATGATCAATATCTTGTCTGTACGTCCAGTGGCTGTCTTCCAGCTGTTAGCATCGTGTCTTAGCTTAGCCCAAGTCATTGCAGTGGATAGGAGTCAGTAGCATACTCAGTAGCTGAAGCTGGCGTTTTAGTACGTGCATTTAAAATAAAGATTTTTAAACCCTTTTTAGTTGTTTCAGAATAACTTTGATACGTGTAACTATAGTGTGTTTACATCATGCGCTGTGACACACTATAGTTCCGTGTATCAAACTTCCTTTAAAACCACTAAAAAGAACTCTTGTTTTTAGAATTAATGTTTTAATCTTTAATTTGAATGCACGTGCTACAATGCCAGCTTCAGGGTTTCTGTAAGGTTTATTTTATTCACTTTTACAGAGTATGCTACTGACTCCTACCCACTGCAATGATGTGGGCTAAGCCAAGCTGTGATGCTAACAGCTGGAAGCCAGCCACTGGACGTACAGACACAAAAAAGATATTGATCATGTTGTCTCACTTGGAAAACGATAGAGAAAGAGCATAACTCCCAAATCGTCGTATTCTTTAGGGATTTCACTTTTATTTAGGAAAACAAGATTCACTTAGTTTTGCATTTAAAATGCACCTTTAATGTAGTTATTTTGAAAAGATTTACAATATCTGAAGATGTTTTATTGCCTGTAGCCCAATATTTAAAATGCACATTTTTTGTAGTAAAACAAATTCTTTTCAAGCTCACTGTAAGCTGTCATTGAAGATGTTAACGTGATGATGGTAATAAAGTTTTATTGCCAGTAAAAGTATATGGTGTCACTTAAAGCTCTTAAAGTCATCCTGTAGCATATTATTCATGTTTATAAGGCATTATTCCGTTTCAGAAATTAAGCATTTATTATATGTCAGAGCAGTTCTTTGAGTCTTTATAACTGGCTAAAGTTATGATAGTTATAATGTGCTATGTAACCCAGTACTTCAGATTGTTCTTTCAAACACTGTCGTCACTTTAGCATGGAAGTATAAAGCATTATGAATGCTGAATTTAAAATTCATTATGTAACCACTTATAATACTTTATAAACCTTGTTATAAGTTGTCATATACGATTATAAACATTTATAACAATGTTTATAAAGCCTTATAAATGTGTTATAATGTCTTATGAATGTGCTCATAATGCATTATAGACCTGACCTTCATAGAAAGTGTTACTGAACTATGAATTTGCTTTATTTGTTTTCACTGTCTTTATGTTAAATGTTAAATGTGCATTGTAGGTTGAGACGTGTTCATTGTGGTTTGTGTGTTGATGTTTTGTGAATGATTCATTTTCAATAAACAATCAATCAAATAAACAGAGGCGCTCCTGCAGCTCCCTCCTCTCTGGCTCTCTGATGTCACAGTGTGGAGCCTCAACCAATGGCGTAGCCACGGGTGTGCCAGGGTGTGCCGGTGCCACCCACAGAGGCAGCTGGCACACCCAAAAAAATTGCCGTCAGACGATGCGTTGCGACACCTACACCTGGCAACCTACTGACCTGACTGTGACCCCTCGTCCAGCAAGCATTGCGGGAGCGCTAACTGCTGCTAATAGCGATGAAACAGAGTTCCCTGATGAATTATTTCAAAAAACCTCGACTTGACTTCCAGCAGGACACAAGTTCGACAACTGAGGAGGATGTTTCTCCCTCTCCATCAACAAGCAGGCCCACGACCCCTCCGACACAGGCTAGTGAGGCTACACACACCATGGGGAATGATGCAGCTAACGTTACAGTGCCAGACAACCCCAATACAGCTACCTCGGGGATCACAGATCTTTCCACAGTGGACACAAGCTTTCCCATCCATGGGAGCTGTCAGTGGAAAGAGGAGGACTTTTCTGCTAAATGCTATGCCCGATACAGTTGGTTGGAGTACAGCATTAAATTGGATGCGGTTTTTTGCCAGTCCTGTCGCCACTTCAGCACAGACGTCAAGGAGGACAGATTCAGAAAAACGGGAATGAGAGACTGGGGGCATCTAGGTCAGTTTTGTGTAAAGCATGAAGCAAGTAAAGCTCATGCTTCTGCTGTGGCCCGACACAAAGGTTACATTGAGATACAACGAGCTGGAAACTGTGACATCATACATCAGGTGACAAAAGACAAACAAGAGCGTTTCGTAGACTCTATTGAAAGAAACCGGGCACACGTGAAAGTTGTCATTGATATTTTGCTGTTTTGCGCAAAACAAGGCATTGCACTGCGTGGTCACAAGGAGGACGCAGAAAGCCTGAACAGAGGAAATTTTCCAGTTGTTCAAACTGATTTGTGATTATGACCCTGACATAAAAAAGCGCTTTGATGAGCTTCCAAATAACGCAAAAATGATGAGCCCTGACATTCAGAACGATCTCCTTGAAACTGCAGCATCACTAGTCCTCCGAAAAATCAAAGCGGAGCTGCATGCAGAGACAGACACATAGTATGCCATTTTAGCTGACGAATATAAGGACCTCTCAAAGAAAGAGCTCGTTGCTGTCTGCTTAAGGTATGTGTATAACGGTAACCTGAGAGAGAGCTGTCGGATTTGTCGCGACAGATGACATGACATCATCTGGCATCACCAAAAAGATTTTGGAGGTACTGGAACCACTGCAGCTGGATCCTGAATTGTGTGTGGGTTTCAGTTTTGACGGAGCAGCAGTTATGTCCGGTGAGAAATCCGGGCTGCAGGTGCAGCTCAAAAAAACTTTTCCTCATGCAGTGCATGTACACTGCCACTCCCACCGCCTGAACCTGGTGCTTTCGACAGCTTCAAAAGTGTCTCCCACTCTGGCCACTTTTTTTGATGTTGTGAATTCACTGCATCATTTCATGACCGGAGCCAACAGACATGCACGATTTCTACAAATCCCAGAAGAACTTGACCCCGACGCACCCCGTCTGGAGCTTGTGAGCTTCACAGATATTAGGTGGAGTTCAAAATCAGAGTCTGTGAGCCGAGTTTTAATGTTGTATGATGTTATATTAGAAACACTGAGTGAGTTTGCGGAGGGGTCAGGTCAGACTAAAATAGACGCAGAGTCTCTCCTGCAACAACTACAGACCGAAAGATTCATATTTCTTCTTGTTGCGTTTTCTAAGCTGTTCAGTGCAAGTGATTTTGTGACAAAAAGCCTACAGTCCCCATCTGTGTCAGTGCCTGACTGCATCCACATGATTGACGGCCTCGAAGAAACTTTTGCTACTTTCAGGAGTAACTCAGACGGGGAATTTGAGAGAATAATCAGGCCAACTGATGACATCATGAAGAAAAACGATGTTCAGAACTGGGATGTAGCAGGCGCACGGAACAGAAAGCTGCCTGCCAAGTTTGCTGACTCGCATGTGGCCTCTACAGTGGGCAGGTGTGCACCCATCAGGAGTGATTCTGATTTGCAGTCCTTGTGGACTATGATCCTTGACAGACAGCTGGTCGAACTGAACAACCGTTTTCAGAGTGACTCTTATGGAATAATGAAGGCTGCTGCCTCCCTGCTGCCTGCATCAGACGCGTTTTGCCAGCTGGAAGCATTGCGCGCGCCGAGCAGGCATTATGGACTTGGTTTGGAGGCCTCTGAATTGACTGTGTTTGGGCAACTCATCAAACGGAAAGTGGACGGGGGACATCAGTTCCCGTCCATTATTTAAGTGCTGGACTCATGTGACAAAGATGTTTTTCCCAACATGAACTGTTTACTGCGTATTCTGATAACACTGCCTGTTACAAGTTGCTGTGTGGAGCACCTGTTTTCAGTTGTAAACAGGATTAAATCCACCAGCAGAGCTACAATGCTCACAGAGAGACTGAATAGCATCTCGCTGCTCATGTTTGAAAAAGAGCTCGCGGAGAAACTGGACTCTGATGAAATAATGAATGCGTTCAAGGCCAAGCCACGCCGTCTTGCCCTTTAAATTGAGAGCTGCGCAGTGCGCACAGGTAAGCAGCAATATCGTTGTGTCCTTTACTCTGCTGCTAAGCCCAATAGTTGTGTTCAGATGGTTAAATAGCTTTGTTGATCATGCGTAATGTGGATACATTATGGCTCTATGAGAGTGCATGAGTACATGCATGAGTGTATTATATTTCACTGTGTTCATCTCATTGGGCACGCGATGTCTGTGTGTGTTATGTTTTTGCGGTGTTTTTTTTTTTGAGAACACAAAGTGTGCTTTTTCTATTACTTTGTTATTGATTTATTTGAGAGCATGTCACGTGTGAATGTTTAGACCTGCTGTGAACTACTGTTGACTATTACTGATAGAACGCACACAACGTGTGGATATGTTTTGTGTTAATAATGTTGTATTCGAGAAAGATACATTCTTTTGAATGTTTGTGGAGGTGTAACACTCTGTTGAAAATAAATTTGGCACACCCAGTATTTGCTGGTGCACACCCAATGTCTTTTTTCTGGCTACGCCAGTGGCCTCAACACGCCAAGAGGAGGAGCACAAGGCTGCTCAGCTTACAGTGTGCTCAAAGGTTATTATGGGATGTATGCCAAGTGGAATGAAAAAGTGTCAGGAGCTTCTTTCTGATTGGTTGAGAGACGTTATCACACACTGAGACTGATGTTCACTGTTTCACTTCCTGTTCTTTGCCTTTAAAAATGCCTCTCAGCACCTCCTCTCTCCACTGCTCCTCATCAGACGATCAGAACACATCAGCTGAAGAGAACCCTCTCTCACTTCACACTGTAAGTGACAATAATTATCATATGCTCAGTGTTAATTTTGGCAGCTATTGTCAATTTAGTTTCAGTCATTACATGAATTACATGAAAAGTCATATTTTAGTCATTTCTGTCTTCTTTAATTTTAGTTTTTGGCGAAACACAGTAGTTACTCATACATAACATATGTATTAGTGGTTAATAAGGTCTGTATTAAGTATCATTCAATTCAATTCAATTCAATTCAATTTTATTTATAAAGCCCAATATCACAAATCACAATTTGCCTCACAGGGCTTTACAGCATACGACATCCCTCTGTCCTTATGACCCTCACAGCTGATCAGGAAAAACTCCCCAAAAAAAACCCTTGAACGGGGGAAAAAAAACGGTAGAAACCTCAGGAAGAGCAACTGAGGAGGGATCCCTCTTCCAGGACGGACAGACGTGCAATAGATGTCGTACAGAACAGATCAGCATAATAAATTAACAGTAATCCATATGACACAATGAGACAGAGAGAGACAGAGAGAGAGATGCAGGTAATAACAGTAGCTTACAACAACTACTGTACACATGTATTTGCTCAATTTCTTACTCTTACTGAACTAATAATTTATTCTTTGTAAATAGTTGGTCATGGTACTAAATTATTGGGTCTAATCCCGAGGTGCGGACACAGAATTCAATTGTTTATAATAGAATGGAATTCTGGCAGCAAATGCTCAGCATCCGCAAGGCTGAAATCATGCACCCGGTGTAGCCTCTGGGTTAGTAGAGAGCTTCTACATTCCTTAGAGACAAAACAATGTATTACGAGGCAGTTCTGATCTAGATATCAGTAACTTCAGATCAAGACCCACTAACTGATTATTAAGGATTTACCAAGAAATAATAAATAAATTCGGTAACACTTTATATTAAGGTACTGTAATTAGTGCTTAATAAGCAGTTAATTAACAGTTAATGAGCACTTATAAGACGGTATAAGATGCTTATTAACATTAATAAGACTAGGCTAAGTGTTTATTACAGCATAACTGGAGTATTATAAGCACTTAATAGAAACTTTGGTAACAGTTTATAAACCTATACTAAATATTAATAAGATGTCTATTTACATTATTTATAATTTATAAGGTTAATTATAGAATAATAACCATATTTATTACTGGTTTATAAGACACTATAAGACCCTATAACATAAAATTAATAAGGTGTTTATTAACATTAATGAGACTAAGTTAATATAAATGCCATATTACGGTTAATAAATGCTTAATTATGCAGTTATTAATAGTAAATAATAATCCTTTGCAGCTACCGGATCTAATGTGGGAACAGTATCGTATAAACGTTAATAAACTATTAATATGCACTTATTAATAGCTCATAATAAAGGGGTGTGACGTGCTGATGTATTGCGGTAAGCGTGTTGTGTCATTTCCGGTGTTTTCTGTGACAGTGTCTTTGTGCTGCTCTGGTGAATTCTACTAGCCTGCTTTCTGCTTTTCGCACTTCAGTTGCTTAACATCTACTTCAAGTCTTAACCCACATTAGTTCTGTTTAAGCACTTATAGCTCTCCTCCTTTTTATGACTTTCTTGCTAATCTCTTAGCCTTGGTAGCTACATTAGCTTTACAGTTAGCGATGGCTTCTCCCTCTGCTCTCTCTTGCTCGGTGTGCCAAATGTTAAGTTATGCCTCTGCCTCCTTTAGCGACAGTGGTAATTGTAATAAGTGTAGCTTATTTGTTGCGTTGGAGGCGAGGCTTAGTGAATTAGAAGCGCGGCTCCACACCATGGAAAACCAT